TTTCTATCTTAAGCTTAAGACTGGTCTCCACTGTATTGTTACTTATTAGTGTTGGTACATATTATAGAAAAGAAAAAGAGACCAAACAAAATAAACCATCTGGACTTTTTTGACCGCACCTCGTGGACATCCTGGCCCAGATGCCAGCACTCAGATCTCCATCACAGCTTCTCCATTCCGGGAGTGAATCAGGGATGACACAGAATTGTGTCTGCCTACAGCGGTGTTTTTCAGACTTGGCAACTTTAAGATGTGTGGTCTTCAGCTCCTAGGACCCCACATCTTAAAGTTGCCAAGTTTGAAAAACACTTGCCCACAGGAAGCTGGAACTGAATGCAGGCCGTTAATCTGGCAGACAGGCAGCCTCTTCTCTGCGTAAAATGTTGGGCTGATGCTCTAATGATCTTGTTGCTAAGAGCTCCGATCACGGATCTGCTCCTTGCAATGGTTGGGAGAAAAAGCCAGAAAGAATTAAACAAAAATAATAAAATTCTGACCTGATGAGGTACGCCAGGTACAAGCCGAAGAGGAGCAGGAAGACGGGAGGTAACAGTAGTAAAATCACAATCAGCGGCCCTGGATCTAGGCAAGAAACAGAGATCAAGCAGTGAAGCTGAAGTCCTGCACTAGAGTTGATCGATTTGAGTGCAAGGAGCTTGAACGCTATCCAAATAGGGATTCCTACAACACATCTAACTTCATGCATTTTGGGGTAGCCAATCAGTTGAGTCAGGTCCATGGTTTTCATGACAGCCATGAATTCCTAGGCTACTCCAAACTTCTTACTGAAGGAAGGTAGTTTGAAGTCCCCCCGCACTACCAGGCAGGGAAACTCTACATGGGGCTACCTTTGAAGACCGTCTGGAAGTTACAATTGATATAGAATGCTGTGGTGCGGGTAGTTATGGGTATACCTTGATATGCCCGTGTAACACCACTATGTGGCAAGCTTCACTGGCTCCCAATAGGGTTCTAGGCACAATGCTGGCTGGAGAATTCTGGGAGTTGAAGTCTACCAATGCTGGCTGGAGAATTCTGGGAGTTGAAGTCTACCAATGCTGGCTGGAGAATTCTGGGAGTTGTAGTCCACCCATCTGAAAGCTGCCAAGGCTGAGAAACCCTGTTCTATAGTGTTGATGATAGTTTAGTGTGTAGTGTGAACCCAGATGTGGTGTGCAAGCTGTGGTTCAGAGCTTAACCTGATGCACAAGCCCAACCAACTGTGATTTAATCAAAATGGTTAATTAAAGCCTGGCTCAGCAGCAGGCTTGTGCATCTTGTTTGTGATCCTGTGACTGTGCTTTTAAATGCCTCCTGGACATTTAAAACAGGGGTTTTTGGGGAGATAAACACCCAAAGCATTTCTTCCTTGGTCTGGCTGATCTTTCCTCAACTGGCAGTCGTATTCCTGGTGCCTAAGACCATTTCCCCACCAGAAGGCCTTCTGGTTTCCTTGCATCTCTGTAACTCTTGGAAGTTAATGGGATGTTGACTTTTGCCACAAGCTCCTTCAAAGCCAACTGTTTCTGAGTTCTTAATTCCCTGCAGAAAAGCCGAACCCACCACAGGAAGGTTCTCAGCTGTCACCTCTTCTCTCTCCCTGCTACTCACCTTTTGTTGAGCAATTGCTAAGAAAAATTCTGAACCTTCCCTGGGGGTTTTCTGAAGGGCACAAACCCACCTTAAGACACAACAGGTGGAAACAAACCCTGTGCAGCCTTGACCCTTCCAGTCAGGCTGTGATAGTTTGCATGAAGCAGAGGACAGCAGGTAGGGATGAAACCCCCTTTCAAGATGTTGCAACCATCGGTTTGTTTTCAGGAGCTTGGAGGACAACTTTGGACCCTCCAAATGTATGGGAGGGACAATTCCCAGAACCCAAGGAAATTGGGAGTTGTGGTCCCTAAGCACAAAAGCAAGCCAGGGAAGGTTCTTGGCATGGATGAGAATGGTGCAAATGAAAGCTTTGGCTCTCCCCAAAGGGTGATACTAACATAGGTCATCTCTCTTGCAGAGGACATCTGGGTTAAACCAGCAGGCCGAATCAGCTGGGGGTGACCTCCCTCCAGGGAAATGTATTGCCCTCCCCAGGGGCTGTATCACGCCAGAAGATGCAGCCAGCACGTAAGTGGGGAAGAGGTGACTTTTCTTGCCATCCGTGTCCAGAATAACGTATCTGGCCAGTGGCCTTCCTTTGCTGTCGACCTGTATCCTGTGGCTGAAGCCGGCAAAGTCGAAATTTCTGACATGTTGAATCAACGTTGCTCCAGAGAGTTCAGAAGTCTCGGGCTGGGCTACCTTGGCTAAAGCTTTGGCGACCAGGTAAATGGCATTGTAGATTGTCCCAAAAAGTGGAGTGACCTGCAGAAGAAAACCAGCCAAGACAACAGGTTTTAGATATTGGCCAAAGACAGAAAAATAGCTGTTTTTCATTGCTGGTCTCAACCCTCCTTTCCTTATATTTAGATTTGTGCCACACGATGGTGGTCAGATTTATAGTGTGCAGGGCATGTTAAACAAAGCTTATTTCCTCTGCCTTTGGTGTCCTCTCCTTTCTGGACATCACCAGCTGGCAAGAAACCATTCACCAATCACAGGACTCTGCAATTGGGCGGGTTTGGAAAGATGGCACTTGTCCCAGGGCCTTGGACAGCCAATCCACAGGGTGGAAGCACTGCCAGTTAAAGCAAGAGATGATCTGTCAAGCATGTTTTCAGGGCAGATTTAGCACTCTTTACCTGTTGGAGCCCACTGGACAGCTGATCCATGGAACCCAAGATACGACAGGTTCAGCTGGAAAGCCAGGGGTGAAAGAGGCAGAGATTCTGACTTTGCAAACCAGGATGGTCCTTTGGGAGAGTGCCCAGGGACCAGCGGTGGGAGGGAAGGTATGTTTGCATCAACCTGGCACGGTCAGTAGGTGTTGGTGTTTTGGCCAAAGCAACATTAACTTCCTAAACTTTAGGAGTTAGTAAGCAACCTGGCCCCAGTGAGAGATAAAGTGGAAAGTGAAAAGAGAACAACTTTATCAGCAGTTGGGAATGGAAGAATGGGGTCTTCAGCGAGGTATATGCTAAAGGTGTGCACGTATGCATGGAATCAGGAAGCAATTCACCAAGATCGAACAAAATGGAAACTGGAGGACAGCCACCAGAAATACAGATGTCATGCAAAAATCACATTTGACTTAGCAATTTAACAGGTCAGTGTGATTCAGGGATCTGGAAAGGGATGTATGATGGACGCCACTGGCAAATTATAAAAGAACAAGCTGTACAGATCTCGGTTAGAAGACTCCATTATCTGGACCAGCGTTTCTCCACCTTGGCAGCTTGAAGATGTGGGACTTCAACTCCCAGAATTCCCACGCCACGCACTGCGTGCGTGGGAGTACG